AGCAATGGACAATACCCAACAAGAGACGACCCAGAAAATATTGAATACACCAGCGAAGACAGAATCCGAGTAGACGCGGAGTTAACAATCGGAATGCTTAGGAAAATTGTTTACTTAAGCAATAATCACCGCCTTAATTATAAAAGTGACTCGATGTTATTACTCACTAGAGCAACCGAAGAGACAACAATTAAAGAAGACATAAGCCCATTCGTTTTTAGGATATGGGACAACACTCTTATCAAATGTCCAAAATATCATTATGTAATGTGTGAATTACTCAGGAAAACACAGTTTGAAGTCAAGCTTGGAGAACCACATCTCTGTGCAATTTGCGGAACTAGAGATGAAGAATCTTCTGATGAAGTGATTGAAGAGATGGAAGAGCCAATAGTGGAAGAGCCAGCCAGCAAGATGTGATAGCCAGCAAAACCCACGTGAAGATGTAAAATCAGAAATGAAATAAAGTGGATGAATAGTAGTCCACATTATTATGTTTGTAAGAGTGGACATAAAATGAGCCACGCGTCTGTGTAAAAGAGTCTGTCATGTAATATAAATATGTGTGTAAACCTCTTGTAGATGCAAAGTGAAATAAATGCGAACAAGTTTCGTTTAAGAGTTGAGAATTTTTTTTCTCTAAATAGCTCTAACTGTTAGAGGTTCCAGCCTTGATAATAACAGTTTTCACTCAAACAAAAATTCAAAAAACCAAAGAATTAAAGAGGTTCGACCAAGAAATAAAAGAAGTACGATCAAGAATTTAAAGAAGTTCAACCAAGAAGTAAAGAAGTACTATTTCTGGCGATAATCACCACCAACAAAATTCAACTATAATCCATTTCAGGTATGTCTGATAACGAAGAATCTCAAAACGCAGTACAAAATAATTTATTAGACTATATTAGTAGTATTGATACAAATAATTTCTTCGAAAAAGATATATTAATCCAAGGATCAAAGATTAGGAACCTTGAAAAAGAAGCAAGAATAACCTTAAAAGAAGATCAAGATGTACATAGAAATAGACTATCAGAAATGTTAAAAAGAAAAAATGTATAATACTTCGGAAAATTTATACGAGAATTTCCCTTACCAACTGAATCAACTCGTGGTGAATTTACATTACCAGTAATTTCATCCGAGGCCATAAATGAAAAAATAAGCAAAATGAAACCAAGTCATCAAGAAAAAATATCATATATACACATAGGGACAATTCAAATAATAGTAAGGTCAACATTTAAAAAGAACATCGATTCCCCAATCAGATTAGTGGTAATTGACAACAGAATTCAAGACGAAAATGATAAAATAATTTGAATAGTAGATAGTAATTTAAAACACTCAGTCGTTAAGTTTAACGTAGCCTGTCAATATGGCATTCCACTAACAACAAAAAACCTCAACAACTCGATTGGAATTATATACGACTTCCAACGACATAATCTTATGGAAGACGGAGACCATACGTTATCTATTATGTATGCTGTTGGATACGTTTTGTCCTCGTCCGCACATAGTATTGAATTTGCTAATAAGAATGATATATACCTAGAAAACCTATTTAAAGAAACAACCACTGTTAAATTTATACCAAAGAAAAATATAAGTAATCAATTGAATAAAACATATACCCCACAGTTAAAATTCTTGGAACCTAGCTCAAGTGGCTCAAGAATAAGTAAAAGCAGAACCTATAATGAAAGAAGAAAATCGATTAGTAGTTCATATGAGTTACAAGAAATTAATCATAAACTAAATAAATTAGATAGAACTATAACGATGTTAGATAATAAATTATAAAAAAAACATATGAAAAAACAGAGTCAAAGTTGTAAGAAAAAAGTGGTATCAGAGCATAATTTCTCGATTAATCTATATGTAGTCTCTCTCAGATTTTTTACTGTTATTAATACGTCATCCAATCCTTGTAATTTATCTAGTTCATCTAGGATTTGTATATCTACTATATTAAAACAGAGTCATTCTTTTTATCTACTGATACAAGTTGTCATTTAAATTTGGACCATTTCTAGAATGTTACAAATAATATAAGTCATATAATTGATTGAACTGTATTACTTAAATGAAACCAACACAATTAATGTAAAGAGACGACCTTAATGTAAACTACCTTCAAAATATGGCAGGTATCTATGTGTATACCGAAAACACATATTTTTTCCTACAAATATGGAATGTTCTAAAAAAATATATATCATCAAAATATGGAATATGAAAATCTACTAATTATATTTAAATTAAACCAGTGGTTATTTATGAAATATAGTCTTGGGCTTACTTTTATTTTTTGAACAAATTATATAGTTTGGTTTTTGGGCTTAGTATTAAGAAAAAAACTCTAAAAACATTGAATAAACTTATCACCTTAAAAGATCAAAAAATCAATTATTATTTTCAGACCAAAAAGGTATTTAATATTTTTAACAAAACAAAATTATCTATTATTAATCATTTATTTAAATCATGTACTTTAAAACATGTTAATATATTTTTTT